ATTAGCGCTCCTGGCTCTGTCGGTAGGCCTGATGTTCGTGGTCTTCACCCTGGTATATTTGGACCAGATGGTGGGCCCCAAAACGAACTGATGATAAGGGCCAATACCGTAAAGAATAAGCTCGCTCGGGTTGGTCGAGAACTTCCCATTCCAAGATTCAGGTGTTATGGATGGGTTCATTCTCTTCCTGACAAATGGTGGGCTAGGATGACCAAATACGTACTCCATCGTTGGGATCAGGAGTTGCGGGATTTGGGATTATATGCTCCAATCCGAGCTAGTATGCATGGTCTCCCAGTGAGTGCAGATCATTTTATGGCTTTGTTCGAGTCTTATATTCCGGAGACCAATACCTTTCTTACCAAGTATGGGGAATTAGGGCTTCCGCTCCACGAAATGATGAAGGTATCCGGATTGCCATTGGGGAATACTCCTTACCAAGAATATTTTCCTAATAATCGTCAGTTGATGAAAATGAAGAAGGCCTGCTCTCCTGCTTATGACATCCTCTGGGAGTTAACTTGTCATTATCAGATAGCGATAGCCAAGATTGAAGTGAAGAGTAAGAAGGCGGCTCGAGTCAGTTTAAAACAGTTCGCCGACTACCTATTTCAGAACCTTGAGAGCCCGACCGGTGAAGAAGTCTGTGAATCACCGATTCTGACCCCTTCTGACGTCAACCAGCTAATCACGAAGATTAATGCTCAGTCTTACAGAACTGAGTCATCTGAAGGTGGTTTTCTTAAGGGCACCAAGTTCAACACTTTCTTGTGGCAAGCCACAAAGAGAATGAAGCCTGCAACTCTTCTTTCCGGTTATCTGGCCATTTGGCTAAAGAGATGTGTAGTGCCGCATCAGTCTTCTGAGGCGCTTCCTCTTGAAGTTCTCTTTCCCGCCGTGCAACTAGTTGTCAGAGGCAGGTTATCTCTTCTTTCTGCTATGATTGCTGACCTCCATAGCGGTTTGCGTAACCTAGCCAACACCTTTACCAAAGTGGGTGCCGAGCCTTCAACTAAGATTCCTTTGTCGAGCGTCGAATTTCCGTACACCTATTTGATGGCGTGGCTAGTTCTCCATCGATCGGACATGATGTCAGCGCCTGATGCGTCTGATCCAGAAATCCCCTTGCTGCAGCTCTTAGAAGGATGTAAGTGGTTATATCCTTCCCGACCATGGACTGACCGTGTGAGGCAATTCAAGAATGCCAAATGCTGGGAATTCTATAAGTGTTTCCCTCGGTTTTCTGGTGCCTATAATGACACGCTTGTTGACGAGGAAATGCCTGGGGCTAACAGGACCTCTCTCGATACGGGTAGTTTTCATTGGCTCATGAACATTCGCCCAGGCTATAATGTTTTTCGATCGAAGAACATTTGCAGGATTGAGCCTTATTTTCCTTGCCGTTTTGCGCGACAATTCGGCTACGATCAATTGTATATCGGGAATCCCAATAAATGGTTGATAAACTGCGGAGGCCTTATTGATGGGGTACGTGCCTGGTTCTGGAATGTTGCTGGCTGTACCGGAGCTCGATTTAGTTTGCCTGTCGCTGAGCCTGGTCTTTACTTAACCTTCCTCTACTGCCGGTGGATTTTAGCCGCCAATACTCCTCTTGCGAAGAAGAAGCTCCACGAACTGGAATCCGAGGCTGTAGTTCGGAGAATTGTATCAAAAAAAGGAAAGGAGCCCGCTACGTCTTCTCGTAAAGGAAAACAGGTAGCTGATTCCGAAGAGAGCGACGACTTCGAGACATCCAGCGAAGAGGATGAGACCCGAGGCGACGCAGAGGGTGATGTACCTTTGTCTCCCGTGGCTCACAGGACTCGTCGAGCTTCTTCGCCCAAATTACCCGGTGCTCCTTCAAAAGGTATACAAATGAAGGAAAAGAACATTCCCCTGTCGTCCTCCAACAAGATGACCTTGAGATGGCTTTCTCAGGAGGGAGAGGCAGAAGAAGAGGAAGAAGAGGTTGCCCCGCTTATTAACAGGAAAAGATCTCGGCTTACTGCTCCTTCTGAGGTTCAACCTCAGCCGACTCAAGGAACCGAATTACGTACCAAGTTTCGACATGAAAGCTCCGAGGTTCCTCGAGATTCTCGTGCCTCGAAGAGGATTAAAAAGACGGCTCATCGGGAACGCCAACTTTCTCCGTTATTTGAGGAGAAGTTTACTCAGGATCTTCCAGTTGATGAAAGGGGTAAAGTTTCATCTTCATCTCCTTTCTGTTATCTTATTTTTTTTTTGAATAAGGCGTCGCATTTATTCTTTTATCATTGCAGTTGAATCAGAAGAGGAAGGGGAAATCGTGCCCAAGCCTTCTTCTCCGGGTTTAATGGATGTTGATGAATCTAGCTTCACTGAACAAGTGCACAAGGCTATGAACGAGGAACCCCTTCATATGGACATTGTTCCTCCTCCAGCCACCACATCGACCTCGCCAACCGCAGATACAGGTACTGATGTTTTCTCCTTTGGGGGACATTTTCGGAAGATAAGTGAATCAGAACGTGTTCCTCTCCTACTAACTTGTGCGCTTTATCTTCTTTTAGTTAAACTAAAGGAGGTGAGTGCGGGTAGTAGCGCTGCTAATCCCGCAACTATTGTTGAAGGTAATCTCACTTTATTTGTTTTGATTCTTTGATAGTTCTTGTATATGTGTTGACGAGTTCTTCTGTTTAACAGACATCACAGTCGACGAACCGGGAGATATCGAACTTACCCATGATATGGGTATCGGAGATTTCGATGAGCGTAATTTCGATCTTGATATGTCCGAAGATGTACACCAGGAGATCTCCGATATACTATCAAATCCGGTTCCATCCGCTACTGCAGGACCAACTACTCGAGTTGATTCAGCTGAAGTAGGTGTATCAAAAGGTATATCCTTTTAGACTCCAATGTTTAACTATACTTTCATCTCTTATTATTCTTGGATGACTGAAATAAGAATTCTAAATGTAGGACCAACCAACAAAGCTGATGCATCTACTGTCATTGGTGAATGTGATCAACCTGAAGGTCTGGGTTTCTTACTCTTGGCAAGTCCCCCAGCTGAAGTTGAACCACTAGTGACTGCTCCCCCGACTTCCGCTATTGTCGAAGTTGAACCTGTTGTGCTTTCTGCTCCGACTCTAGTGGATCATGAAGTAGGAGGGTCAAAGGATACAGCGGG